ATTAGATACTGTAGTATATGTGTAATTAGTATAGCTATATACGGCCTATTGGAAGATCACCCGTCTTAATTTTTGTAAATATCTTGGTGAAATAGTACCGTTTTTAATAAAGTCAATAAAGTCAATAAAGTCGAAGGAGTAGATTACTTAATAATGTTGTTATGCGAATTCATAACCTGGAACATTTATAACTCATCCGCTCCTTCACATCCTCCAAAATGAGAAAATCGCAACTAAAATCGCAGCAAAAATCGCCCGTCTCAGCGGGCCTTAACAAAACATATTTTTGCCTGCTGTGGTATGGTACACCAGAACAGCAAGTTAATCTATTAACCGACATTGCTCTTCCAATGGTGAGTAAAATCATTTATATAATAACTACAGTGAAACACGCAATTTGATTGGTCAATAGCCGTGGGGGACAGGCTATCCTGCACGAGGAATCAAAATGCCTTCGCGGGATTTTCGCGAGATTGTTTAAATGTGATTGTTCCACTGTAGTTATTTTATAAAACAATTACCAAATGGTTTTCCAAGCAGGATAGCGTGATCCATGCACTTGGGATGTCGCTCGACTTTCGGAAAGCGTAAAAATACACTCGCTGCGGTTCGAGTATTGTTACGACTTCCGAAAGTCTCGCGACATCCCTCGTGCATGGATCACGCAATCCTGCACGGAAAACTATTTGGTATTCCTTTATTAAAGTAGGCGGCGCATCCGGACACATTGCCACCTAAAAACATGTAAATTATAAGTAATTATTTGGAGAAATATACTTACCTGTAATAATTCAAAGTGACCAATCTTCATTTCCGTGCAATTCATGAAGGTATACATACAATATTTGGCACTATCCCCCATTGAATCAAAACGACCATCGCCACTCCAATTGTTTGTGTCAACTTCTTTCCACTTGTTTAACAGGCCTTGCCGGTAGGAATTCCAGTAACGAATGATAGTGGGTAGGAGAAGATCAGATTGATGTCTGAAAATGTCCGTATATGGTATACTGATAATCCGAAGTGTTGAAAGACAAGCAAAATCTTACTAATTGATGCACCAGAGACTAATACAGCAAAGCTTAGTAAAATATCCCCAGCTGGGTATTTACTTAAGATGAGAGGCTGGGAATTCCACTTGAATGTGTTCATGTAATGTGAACACTCTTGCTCAACACAATCATACTGCCTTGCCATTCTTCTTCATTTTCACCTTTGGTTCACTTGCCTTGCACGTAAACAAAATACTGAGAACAAGGCCAGGCGATTGGTATAAAATACAATAAATTTGGTTTAACAGATGAGGATGTTATTGGATTCCATCTGTTATAAAAGAACCAGAAATTATCACAATAAAATGTAATTATCAGACAAATGCCTGTATTATAAAAGTTTGCACTCCGAGAGTGGATGTTCAACCAGAGATTTTATTGAGTGCCAGTCATGGGTTATCTGTACCATATTCTGTGAGTATTCGTATTCTAGTGGCACCATTCAGCTCTTCAAAAACAGCACTCAAAACACTCAAGGAAAGTTCTGGTTGACGATCCACTCTTTTAGTCTGTCTGATTGTTCTTTTAGAATACAGACCAAAGGCAAATCTGAGACTCTTTACCCACATATGCTCTTCATCAGTATTTTACTCTGTTAATGCCAGACAATTTTACTTGTCAGTGATGGGGTATTGTAACAGTTAACTGCATGCAGAACGACTCTTTTAACACCAGCTATTAAATATAAAGACACTTTACAGTAGGTCCTCACCTAATTCCAGATTTTTCATCATGACTAACTTCTTCAGAGGTTTGACTTGATGTTTCAGATTCTTCAGTTGAATTCTCAAATGATGTCTGAGACCGTGGTAAAGCTGTGTCACTGCTGTATTCTTCGGGCCCTTCTTCATCATCACTTTGCATACTGTTTATAGCTTCCAATGGTGTCGATGTATTTATAACAGGATACATTTCTGACTCATTCAACCTATCTTTAGCTTTTGGCAACTTTTGTATATTAACATAATAATAATTTAAATATCAGCTATTAAATACGATATTACACTTACCATTATCATTTTATCCACGACAAGACAGAAATGGCGGTTAGCTCATTGATACGCTCCATCATTTTTGTATTACTTTTAACTCTAATACTATATTTTAAACCTATAAATGGTTTGGAAAACGTGTCTAAGCCATCCCAGTCTGTGATGATTGCTTTAAATGCCGACCAACGAAGTTATCCAAGTCGAAATACACTAGGTTTTAAACGTAGTTTTTGCCAAACTACAAACTACCGCCATCTTTGAAAGCTTAAGTTATATGTCACTAAAGCGTTAAACTTGACCTTAACTGCATCATGTCTGGTTCTTTTGGCTGGTGATGTTAGTGAAAAAGTGTGTCTAAAAGGCCTCCGAAAGAATCAAAAGGCAATTCAGTGTGATGATTGTGATGTGTGGTTTCAAGCAAAGTGCTCTGGGGTTACTGATGGAGAATATTCCAATCTAAGTGTTAATTCAAATACAAACTGGTACTGCTTCAAATGTGTTTTTCCTTTTGAACTGAACGATTGTAATGGACTGGATGTTGCGGCTGGTGTTGGACAAATCCCTAATAACGATGTGTTTGAAGGTACGTGTTGTCTTCGAAGGGGTTTTAAGATTGCCCATCTCAATATAAATAGGCTAATTAACAAAATGGTTAGAATTCGTGAGCTCATTATTCAATATAAATTTGATGTTTTGGCATTAAATGAAACATTTCTCACTTCTGATATTGACGATTGCGAACGAACTTTATATTCCTGGATATAAACTAGATCGTAAGGACCGTACAAATTCGGCGAAATTATCTGGAGGGGGTGTTTTGATATATATTCGTGATTGTATTCCTTTTGTTACGAGAACAGATCTAATGGATAACGAAACGGAGATACTATGGGTTGAAATAACAAGATCAAAGTGTAAACCGCTCTTAATTGCTTCAGCATATCGTCTTTCCGATCTTAGCGAGAAAACATTTTTTTATTCAATTAACTCAAGTTTGGAAAATGTAACTGAAAATTATCATGAAATAGCTATTTTGGCAGACATTAACCTGGATCAACTGAGTAAAGCGAACTCTCCCAAACGTTTAGTGAAGTCATTTGCAATCGAGCACGATATGAAGCAATTAATCGGCGAACCTACGAGAATTACTGAATCTTCAAAAACGCTTATAGACTTGCTCTTTGTTAACAATAAGCACAAGATTGTCCAATCTAGAGTTTTTCATCTATCTCTAAGTGATCACTCTGGTATTTATTGTGTTATATATGAAAGGTGGAATTCGTAAAATTCCACCACGTATATATGAAGTCCAATCATTTAAGAACTATAATAAAAGTGCTTTTTTAAATGACCTTAAACAAATTCCCTGGAGTATTGTTGATATAGTGTGTGAAGGTACCAATGCTTGTTTGGACGACGTTGTATTCCTATGGGAACGTTTGTTTCTTGATGTAGCTAACTTACACGCTCCAATTCAGCTACACAGAACAAAGGGACATAAAACTCCATGGGTTACATCAAAACTTGTTGACGCTCGACGAGATCGAGATTACCATCATAAAAAAGCACGACGATCAAACTCCAAATACCATTAGGGAATGTATAAACGACTTCGAAATTATGCAAATCGAGAAGAAATGCGATTAAAATCAGAATACTTTTGTAATCTGATTAACTGAATCCCAAGGTGATGGCGTTCGAATGTGGAAAACACTAAAGCAAGTTTTGCCGAGCTCTAAATCTGTAATGGAAGTTGGCGGCCTAAAAGTAAAGAATAAATTATTTACCAAATTATCCGATATAAGTGAAATATTTAATAAACATTTTTCAACAATCGGTTATAAATTAGGTCAAATATTCGGGAGAGTTATTGACGCGGATCAGTTTCCACTTAAAACTACAGAAACATTTCGTTCAACCCCTGTGACAGAGAAGTTTGTTTATGACCAGTTACTTCACCTGAAACCCAATAAAGCAATCGGCCTGGACAAAATCAGCTCGAGATTACTTAAGGACGGTGCAGAAGTTATCGCCCCTATCCTCGCGAAAATAATGAATTGTTCATTCAATTCAAAATCTTTCCCTCAGTTTTGGAAATCCGCTAAGGTTATGGCATTGTTTAAAAACGGTAGTACGGACGATTGCAACAATTATAGATCCATATCAATATTGCCTACCATCAGCAAAATTATCGAACGCGCAGCGTATACGCAATTTTACAATCACCTTCAAGTACACAACCTCCTACATATGAAGAAGTTTGGTTTTCGTCGAAAGAGATCGACATCTAGTGCTTTTCTCCAGTTTATCGACGACATCCTAGGGAACATGGAGAATGGTCAAGTGACTGGAGTTGTGTATCTTGACTTGAATAAAGCCTTTGACACGGTTAATCACCGTATCCTAATTCTCAGAGAGGACAATACAAAGGCCAAAACAACTGTTCAAGAGGTAAATCGTTTGGTAGCAGATTACTGTACTGCGACTAAATTAAATTTAATTATACATAACAACAATATCCTCAGTAAGTCGCTTAACAGATCCAAATTGCATCTGAATAAGTAAGGATCTTCTACTTTAGCTAAAAACTTTATTACTTATTTACATAACTTTTAGCCTAGGTAAAGTTACAACTCTTTGCAGCAAAATTTCCGATACCGAACCAAAAGAGCCAAGATGCTCCATTAAGAAGATTATTCCACAAACAAAGTGTGAAAATAGCATTACATTTTTACAATCTTTGAAAGGATTTAGAGTTGGGCATTTAAACATCGCTTCGTTAGTCAAGCATGTTGATGAATTAAAAATATACTTGGAAAAAGAACCACTGGATGTTTTGAGCATTTACGAAACTCGTTTGGATGAAACAATTAGTACAGATACTATTAGTATACCCGGTTACGACATGGTTGCCAAAAATCGTAATCGGCAAGGAGGCGGTGTTGCAATTTACCATCGCAGTATTTTGAACGTAATTGATAGAGATGATTTAGTCCCAGAGGACGTCGAGGCTGTTTGCCTCGAAATTATTAAGCCTAAATCTAAACCTGTCTTAGTTGCATCTGCATATAGGCCACCGAATTTTCAAATTGAATTCCTTGATAAAATTGAAGTAATATTTCAAAACCTTGACAGTGAACATAAAGAACTAATTATCGTTGGCGATTTAAATTGTGATTTTTTATCCAATAATTTAAGCAATCACACTAAACGTTTTAATGATATAGTTAATATATTCCAGCTGACACAGTTGATTGACCAGCCTACACGAATTACCGAGAAAACAGCTTCTCTTTTGGATGTCGCTCTTGTAAACAATCCTGAAAAGA